CCCCATTTTGGCACCGGCCACTGGGATGGTCGTACCAGCGAGCAAGTCCTCGGGCTGCCGTCCAGGTGTCCTCGGCAGCGCCTTCCTCTCCATTTTCTCCTCCCGTTGCAGTGAAGTCAGGCTGCGGGGTTGGGGCTTTTTTTTCGTTCTTTTTTTTGTTTGTTTTTTTTTTTTTTTTTTTTTAATTTTTCATTTTTCCCCCCTTTTTTCAAAGGTTCTCTCCTTTCTTCCTCTCTCTCTCCTTTCGCTCTTGCCCCAGGCTACGCGCCGGTGACGGGGATGTGCCACCCGCTGCGCAGCTGCACCCTCAACCACGAAGACGGCTTCTCCTCGGCGTTCGTCGTCGCCCACGAGACTGGCCACGTGTAAGTGATGGCGTCCCCTTCGTCAGGAGGGACGAGTGTGGTGGTACCCCTGGCTTTTGTGGGTGTGCTCGCTGCGAATGAGCCGGCGTGGATCCCCCTGAGAACCCGGAGTGATGCACTGGCTTTTCCCACCAGGTTGGGCATGGAGCACGACGGCCAAGGCAACCGCTGCGCCGACGAGACCAGCATGGGCAGCATCATGGCGCCGCTGGTCCAGGCCTACCACGGGTCCCGTTGCAGCAAGCAGGAGCTCAACCGCTACATTCAGTGAGTCCATTTTAACCAGTAAGGGGACGTTCTCTCTTCGGACGGCATTTCCTACCCGGCAGCTCCTGAGACGTCCAGAGAAGCGATAGTTTGCCGAAGCTCCGCACTGGTGGAGCCTGGATCCAGCTCTCAAAATATTTTTGTTGCTGTTTGCTGTGGGCAGCCTGCGTGGTTTCCCCTTTAGGCTGTAAAACATTTTGTGCTGCCTAATGCAAAGGTGTAGAGACAGGCCGGGAGCTTTGTTTGCGGCGGGGCTGAGGAGGGGAGGGGGAGGGCAGGTGGCCGTGGTGGTACCCGCTGGTGCCAAGGTGCTCTGTGCCCCAGGGAGTTGCAGGCAGCAGGGGATGCTTCATCGAATCATAGGATGGCTTGGGTTGGAAGGGACCTTCAAGATCATCTAGTTTCAACCCCCCTGCCATGGGCAGGGACACCTGCCACTACACCAGGTTGCTCAAAGCCTCATCCAACCTGGCCTTGAACACTTCCAGGGATGGGGCAGCCACAGCTTCTCTGGGCAACCTGTTCCAGCACCTCACCACCCTCAGAGGGAAGAATTTCTTCCTTATATCTAGATTTATCTCCCCTCTTTCAGTTTAAAGCCATTGCCCCTTGTCCTGTCACTACATGCCCTTGTCCAAAGCCCCTCTCCAGCTTTCTTTAGCCCCTCTTCCAGCCCCTTTAGGTACTGGAAGGCTGCTGGAAGGTCTCCCCGGAGCCTTCTCTTCTCCAGGCTGAACGGCCCCAACTCTCTCAGCCTGTCTCCATAGCAGAGGTGCTCCAGCCCTCGCATCATCTTCGTGGCCTCCTCTGGACTCACTCCAACAGCTCCATGTCCTTCTTGCTTGTCTTTGGTGGACTTGGTGTGCTTGCTCTTTGCTGGAGACGTGTTTTCCAGCACTGGGTAGTCAGTGCCGAGATAACTCGGACATCTCGATGTCTGTATTTGGAGTTAGGGCTGGAGGTGAGGGAAGAGGGGGAAGAAAGGAAATCCTCTGGTGCCTGACTCTGCCCTGGGTCTCCGCAGCTCCTACGACTGCCTCCTGGATGACCCCTTTGAGCACCGGTGGCCCACGCTCCCTGAGCTGCCGGGCATTAACTACTCCATGGACGAGCAGTGCCGCTTCGACTTCGGCGTGGGCTACAAAACCTGCACGGCGGTGAGTACGGGTTGCACGGCCGCATCGCCATCACCCCCTCTCCCTCTCCCCGTGACCTCCAGTCAGGGCGGTACGGGGACGAGGAGGGATGCCAGTAAGCCGGCCAGGACTCTCCACTGCTGTCCCAGCCCGGTTCCTCTGTGCTCCCCAGTTCCGTACCTTCGACCCCTGCAAGCAGCTGTGGTGCAGCCACCCGGACAACCCTTACTTCTGCAAGACCAAGAAGGGGCCACCCTTGGATGGGACTGAGTGCTCTCCGGGCAAGGTAAGGGCTGGTCCTGCTTCTCCCTGCTCCTCCTTGGGGACCAGGACACCCTCGAGGGCAGCAGTTGGTGGGTGCCTGGTGTTTAGCTAGCGCATGACTCCTTATTTTCCCCGATCCATGCTCGGATGAGGACTTTGTTTTTCTTCTCACCTGGCCAAAGAGTGATGACATCGTTGCACGTCCAACCTCTCATGTCATCAGGCTTTTACTTTAGGCTCCCTCAGTGGGCCCGTTAGCGCATCATGAAAGCATGGATGTGCTGGAAAAGCTGCTGGTCCGTGCAGTTTTTGGGTGGTTCTTTGCTGGACAATGGGTGGGCATAGAGCATCCTGACAACTCTTGATGAAATTCCATAGAAATCCCAACCGTCTCACTGGAAATGCAGCCTCCTTGAGTGCTCCAACCATGGTTTGCTGAAAACTTCCAAAACGTGGCTTTTTGAAACATGTCCAGATGTGTCACACGTAGCGCTGGCACGTAGGTCCAGATGTTTCGCAACGTCTAGACTGGGAAGTCCTTCCCCCAGGGGGCACGGGCTGGGCAGCCTTTTGCCCCACCGAGGACCTTCCCTGTGTCTTCCATGGTGGCCACCGAAGGCACCGTTGGGTTTTCCCTGGGGCTGGAGTCAAATGCTGGGTCCGGGTGCCCACGGGGTGACACCGCAGCTCCGCGCCACACCTGGGAAGGAGCGTGGAGCTCTGGATTTCATTTACTGAAACGCCGGGCAGCTTCCACTGCGAGAGGGCTCTCCTTGGTGGTGCCGAGGGCTTTGGGAGAGGCAGGCGTGGAGCAATCCCTTCTTTCTCCTCCCTCTCAGTGGTGCTTCAAGGGTCACTGCATCTGGAAGACATCGGAGCAACCTTATAGCCAGGATGGCAGCTGGAGCTCCTGGTCCAAGTTCAGCTCGTGCTCCAGGACCTGCGGAGGAGGGGGTCGCGCACCCCCCCGCCGTACGTCTGGCCTCCATCTCCCTCCTTTTTGCTGGGAAGGGTGGAAAAACTGGAAGCTGGCAATAGCCAGAGGTTCCTCGCCCTTCCCCTGGCGCGCTTGGTCGGTGGGGATGAAGGCAGCTGCTCCCACCAGAGCTGTGCCATGCATTTGGCCACCTCCACCACCGACACTCTTTTTTTAATGCACCCGCTTTGTTTTCCAGCCCGGCGTACGGCGGGCGCCACTGCCCGGGAGCGACCTACGAGTACCAAGTGTGCAACTCCGAGGAGTGCCCGGGGCCCTACCAGGATTTCCGTGCCCAGCAGTGCTCCAAGCGTGACTCCTACTACACCCATCAGAACAGCAAGCACACTTGGCTTCCCTACGAGCACCACGACGGTGAGCGGCGGGCGGCGGCGGGTACTAGCCAGGGAGCGGTCCGGTCCCGTTGCCTTCTCTTAATTTCCTGAGCATGCTGGAAGGAGGCGTGGGCTCTGGAGCAGCAAAGAGGCGCCATAAAATAAGGCACGGGAATAACCTGGGCTTTGGAAACGTGGCCGAGATGGGTTTCTGTCTTCAACCCCCCAAACGTGTTTCCACAATCCCTTTTTTTTCCTCCTTTCCCTTTTTTCTTTCGCCGCAGATGCTCAGAAGTGTGAGCTGATCTGCCGCTCCGAGGGAACGGGGGACGTGGTCTTCATGAACCAGGTTGTTCACGACGGTACCCGCTGC